TCGCTCACTGTTACCCAAAATAGACGAGCTATCCCTCTTACTATCAGCACATCCTATAGAGTTTATTGCCGTAACTGAAACGTGGCTCAACGATACTGTTCCTGAGCAACTAATTTACATAAATAATTACAACATTTTTCGCAATGATAGATCTTACAGCCGTGGTGGGGGTGTCTGCGCTTTCATCTCGACAAATATCCCAGCTAAAAGAAGAATGGACCTTGAAAACCCCTCTCATGAATGCTTTTGGTTATGGCTGCGACCCCACCGCCTCCCAAGACACCAAACTGGATTAATCTGCTGTGTCCTATATAACCCGCCTGATACACCAGTCAATGAGAAAAAGGAATTAACGGCCTATCTTATCGATCAGATTGACCGAGTTAGATGTACCCACCCCGACTGCGGTGTTGTCTTACTCGGTGATTTCAACAATTTAGATATCAGCGATCTCCTGTGCCATCACAATCTTACGCAAATAGTGGACACCCCAACGCGTGAAGGTAACATCTTGGATCTAATTGTTACTAATCTAGAAGCCTTGTATTCTAAGCATGTGATTATAGCACCGCTCGGCTCATCAGATCACAACATTGTTAAATGGTCCGCGAAAACTAACGTTTTAAGAACAGATAATAAAACAATTAAGAAAAACATACGTTCCTTCCCCATGTCGGCACGTGCAGCTTTTGGAAGATGGTGCTGCTCACGTGAGTGGTTCTCTGATGCCGAAAGCAAAAACTCTGCGACCGCTCTAGCGTCCTCCTTCGCCAACGAGTTAAATTCTGCTGTTGATAGGTTATTCCCGTCCAAGGTTATTAGAATTCATAACTCTGACAAACCATGGATGACGCCTGCATTAAAAAAACTGATTTAACAAAAGCAAAAAGTCTTTCATTCTGGTAACCTTGACCTCTGGCGTCACTACAGACTTAAAGTCCGAAACGACATAGGAGTGAAAAAGCGTGCATATTATACGAACAAGTTACAACACCTAAAATCCAGTAACTCAAAAAATGGTGGGACTGTGTTAACCAGATGTCCGGGAAAAAAAGATCTGCAACCAATAACATCAAGATCGTTAAGAATGGTACCACTCTATCTGGTAAAGATCTCGCCCAATCACTTAACACCTATTTCTTAAGCGTGAGTAATGACCTATCACCATTGAATCCTCTCCTGCTACCTGCCTATCTCCCTGCACCTAGGCCTGTACCAAAAATTTTCCCCGACGAAGTTTGCACTAAGATGCTCAATGCAAAAGTTTTCAAATCCAGCGGTCCTGACAATATTCCTAACCGGATTATTAAGGATTTCCCGTACGAATTGGCCGAACCTGTATGTCACATCTTTAATACATCTCTGTCCACTGGTGAATTCCCTAACATATGGAAAGATGCGTTAATTACACCAATTCCTAATGCGCCATCCGTATCCTGTGAGGAGGAGTTGCGCCCAATCTCCCTTACAATTTGGTTGCCTTAAAGGAACCTCTACAACGTTTTGCTTGATCGATATGATCAACAATTGGCTAAGAACATTGGATGATAAATCGAGCTATCTGCGGATCGTTTTCCTCGACTTTAGTAAAGCCTTCGATCGCATCGACCATAATATCCTGGTCCCAAAGTTGCTGGCCCTTGGCGTCAGATTGTCGTTTATCCCATGGATATGCAGCTTTCTCTCAAATTGCCGTCAATCGGTAAAGATCGACAATTTCCAATCTGATTGGGGCGTCAATAACGCAGGTGTCCCTCAAGGAACTAAGTTGGGCCCTATTTTATTCATAATTATGATCAATGATCTTGAACTGGCATCCTCTAGCACTGACCATTGGAAATACGTGGATGACGTAACAATATCGGAGTCCTTAAAGAAAAATGAAGTTTCAGTCCTACAGTCTGATCTTAACACAATTGAAAGATGGATTGTTAATAACAACATGAAATTGAACGGAAAGAAATGCAAAGAAATGATAGTGAGTTTCGTCCGTAGCGAGAATGACATCCCCCGACTCCTCATTGATGGTTTGCCTCTAGACTTAGTTCCTTCATTCAAAATTTTGGGCTTAACCATGAACAATAAATTGAAATGGCAAGATAACACTGAAGCGTTAGTTAAAAAAGCCTCAAAACGCTTATACATTATTCGTGTTCTACAGCGCTGTGGTCTTCCCCCCAATAACCTCTTATGAGTCTATTTTTCTATGGTGCGCTCTATCTTAGAATATGCCTGTCCTGTCTGGCACACCATGTTACCAAAATGTTTGGGGGATAAAATTGAAAAAGTTCAAAAAAGAGCTCTCCGTATTATTTATCCGACAACAGACAACGAAGATGCTCTCAACATCGCTCAATGCAAGCGCCTTGACGACAGACGTCAAGAATTATGTGCTAAAACGTTCAAAAAGATCTTAAAACCCGATGCTCACCTCAACCACCTCTTACCCCCACTCCGTGAAGAATCGCATGAACTGGACTTAAGAAACAATTCTAACTTCACACTAACTAAATGCAGAACTGAACGTTTTAAAACTAGTTTTATACCAGCAATGACTGCTAATTTAATAGTAAATAATTTGTAGTATTTTAACAACTGTACATATACGATATATCTATATTTATATTATTTAATATTTATCTTTTATTATGTTTCTGTAAGCATATTGCAATTCACCTTCGGGTGCCAAAATGTGTTTCTTAATAAACCTTTAATAATAATAATAATAATAATACAATGTTATTTGGAACGTTCTCTCTTAGCGCGAACAATACACCTCCTCCTCGTTTCTTTCCTGGTCTATCCTTTCTGATTATATTGTAGTCGTTAAGTAAAATCTCATTTTCAAATATCTTATCATTTAACCAAGTTTCTGTAATAGTGATAACATCTAAGTTCTCACCATAGAAAAGGTCCTGAAACGATTTTAAATTACTGGTAGTAGAGTTGTGGCTTCGAGGCTTTGAGCCTTAACCCTATTTGTACCGGGGGTGCGCACAATGAGCGCACCCCTATAAATATTTATCCGTCATTCCTGAACAAATAATCCCATTTGCCTGTGCTTTCATGACTTTTAATATTTTTCCTCTGCCGTTATGACTGGGAAAAAAATTTTCAGAAAATTCATCGTTATTGCCGACATTTGTCAAACAAGGTGTCGGGGCCAAAAATGGGAAAATGTGGGCTGGACAGTATTATTTGGCTGAATCACTTCCCAGGACATAAATAACAATATAATTAGAGAACATATAAAGATGGATTATTACACTTGATTTGCAAAGTAAAATATCCATAATATATTATATAAAATAGTAAAATATAGTATAACATGTAATATAGTTTACTACAAAATACTAATATATTATAAAATGTTTATTTTAATACAATATTTTTATATGCACAAATACACATATTTCTTTGTACCTTCAAGGCATAACATCTTCTTGTCTTTAGCAAACACCACACATGTAGGAACCATGATATATTGCAGAGTATATGAACGGTCTTTGATACGACAAATATACGAATTTACTACATAAAATATTTCGCATAAAATCCTTGCGAATATTGTAGTTTCAAAGTCAATATTGTGTTTTCAAAACTATACTGCAGGCTCGTAGCTTATCTGTGGTACACTTCATGTAACACATAGTATATTGATATAAAAACATGGTCGCCATGCATTTCGTATTTTTTCTACAAATTTTTGTTGATCGACTTCAGAGTTCAGATCAACTTATTCGGTTTATACTAAAGAAGTTATGCCAACAAAAAGAGCTAGAGTTTCAGCAGAGTGGGCAATTGGGAATATTATGCATTTCTGCTATTTATGGAATTTTATGACAACAATGACAGTCTCACAGTGATGAAGATAAAATCAGTGATGTTGAAAATTATTTGGATTGTTTATATGAGAGACAGATAAAGTCTCAGTTGTATGTCTTTTCATATGGTACAAAAATGCCAGCTTGGAAAGAAAAATAATGGTGTTTGTGGACATCTGAGATATGCCATAACATAAAAATATGTCTTTTGAATGTAAAAGACCAAAAAAATATCACATCCAAAATGTTTTTTATCTCATTACGAAAAATAACCAAAAGGGGTAAAATATTAGCAATATTCGCCATTTTGTGATAGGCGGTCGAATCCAATGGAGCCAAAAAACAGCATTTTGGATGTAAATTTAGCTTTTTTGTTATTTTTAGGTTAAAGAAAGATAAAACTTACTAAAAATAAAACTTATAGGATAATGGCAGTTAATCGACAGAATTTCTGAGGGGTGCGCCCTATCAGCGCACCCCCGGTCATATCAACATGAAAAAACCCCGGTACAAATAGGGTTAAAGGAAAGTCATCGTAATGATGTTGAGTTGCATGCAGGTCCGGGATTAATTGCTATATCACCAGCAAGTAGAATACACAGGAGAAGTTGCAAATTACTATTCGCAATGTTAAATTGAAGGCCATATTTGTGATTAGACATGAGAGGGAAAGTAGACTTACGTAAAGTATTATCGCGCGTGGAGGACCGAAGACAACACAATCGATTTGATATTGACACAAGTTCTGGGGAAATGCTACAGATATTCTGGGGAAATGTTCTGTCGTTGGGTTGAATTTCTGATGGTTTTGATCTTATTGATAACCAGAAAGTTAAAATGAGGAAGAAGAGATATCCAAAAACTTTATTGAGCATTTTATTGCATAAGATGCAAAAGTTCCAACGGTCAAAAATAATTAATGTTGAATAACTCATGAACAGTACGTTTAAATAACACCAATATTATACAAAATAACCGAAAACGATTCGTAGATCACACAGCAATATTCAGACGAAAACGACAAACGACGACAAAGATATTGTTCATTAACCAAAATTCACAGTTGTAATACGATAGTAATACGATCCAACAAACCAAAAAAACTTTACACCACGATACAAATCCAATTTCAAAATACGATGCGAGGATGCACAAAATCCTCAAAATTATAGACTAGGCGAAAAATTCAAGAACTCGATTATTGAAAGTGCATGAGGCAATTCTTAGTAAAAGTTAGCCTGCAAACAGGCTCTCTTTGAACTCTCTTTGAAATTTGAGAGAGAGCCTGCAGGCCTAGCTAATAAAAACACGTCTGTGCGTTGCTTAGAACGGCGCAGGGTTCCCATTGGTTGAAATCGAGTAGTTGGTTATTAACTGCCATAAAAGGTAATGCAATTTACACAAAAATAGATTCAAGGTGTCAACACAAAGTGCGGAAATCGAAAAATATCGTTCTATAGCGATAAAAAATGTATTAGATGTGTTGTATAGAAAACTAAATTTTCGTTTAAAGTTAAAGGATGGGCAGTCAAAAGCTCACAATATTCTAGACGGAAACGATGTTTTTGCCGTATAAGAGATTGACAACACTATAAATAGTGATGGGCACAGACGTATTTTTATTGACTAAACCGGCAGGCTCTACTTCAATTCAAAGAGCTTGTTCGCAGGCTAAGTAAAAGTTGGCGACAAGTATCTTCTTGTGTAGTTTTTGACGCTGAATCCGAATTTCATGGTCGCCAACTCTGATTTTGCGTTTGGATCAAGATAATGACATCATATTAATGACGTCATGTGCTGACACTAGAAATGACGCTCTCTTACTTGTTCGTGTCTATTTCGAAATTGCAAGCTATTTTCTCCTTTGTGAGTTTTTTAAAAAGCTAATAGACCAGAAATAAGCATAAAGTTTACGAATAATACGAAATAGCCGATTAAATCAATGAAATAAACAAATAATTTGCAGACTTTAATTTTACGGCGAGAAATGAAAGCTGATGAAACCGAATTATTTTTTTAGTGTTTAAGAGTTTTGAACTTCTGGCGATCGTGGCATAAGTATACTTGAAAACAGAACTGGAAATAAGCGTCTGAAGAGTAGAGAATGGGTTTGTAGACTAGATGTTGGCGCCGTCTTGGCGCCGTCTTGGCGCCGTCTTGGCGGCGCCTGTCTGATTTGTAAAATGTATTAAAAGGCGTTGATTTTCTTCTTGATTTAATATATTTCACCGTTAGAAGACAATAGAAATTTGCGAAGTCTGTTTTCTTAATTGCATGGGAAAAATTGGTTCAGTTTTGCTGCTATTGTTTGTTGCGGATCTTGTGGTCTTCAACTTTCGAGCCGCAAAGATGGATCCCGTTTTAACGTTAAAAAGATCTTCACAAATCGACGTAAATGTTTGTATTTTCTGACAGGCCAGTCTTAAAGATGAACACTTGAGAGCTGCTACTGATTATAGCAGAACGGTAGTTCGCGATGCCATGAATTTGCGGAGCAAGTTTAAAGATGTTGGGAACAGGGAAACAATCAGTAGGCTGGAAGAAGTCATAAATAGTATTGATACTTCAATCGTTTGGCATGTTAAATGCTTTTCCCTATTCACAAGCAAAGACAAAATTCAGCGCCTGGAGAAAAAGTGCAACAAAGATTAGGCGTCTGAAAGACCAACCTCAAGTCCGCGTAAAACGCGTGCGCAAACAGAACAAGTTGATTGGGATAAATGTGCTTTCTGTCAGGTTCATACGAATAAGCGCTTTTCGTCAGTTATGACATTTAAGATGAGTGAACAAATTATTGAGATTTCTAAGGTTGACAAAATACTGTGCACTCGATTTGCGGGTATCTCAGATTTGATAGCCGCTGAAGCCAAGTACCATTTATCATGCTTCAGTGCATCTAAAAGATCAAGGGATAAGACAAAGACTGAAATGAAAGACAATGACTTAGCATTGGTTTGATTGTCCAAAGAATTGGAGTATGCTGCTGACAAGAGTGATTTTATTAGACTTGTTGACGCATGGGAAAGATACACTATATTAGCCAAAAAAAGCGAGCAACACGCTTCCCTCTTCTTTTATCAGTCGAAGGGCGACTTTTAAGGACAACTTATGCATATGGTTGGAGACATCATAGAGTGCGTGCAATCATTTGAAAGGGGACCGTCTGAGCGTCACACCTTGCTAAATATTCCTGGAAAGTGCGCTAAAATGGCTCTGTCCCAGTTAGTAGCCCAGGGTACGGCTGACGAAGAAAACGATGAACTAACTCTGCCTATTTATCATCAACAAGACAATCTCCTCTCTCTTGTACGAGCTGATGTGCGGGAGACCCCAGGTTGCAAGGGACTCGACATAGGCATGCACGATGTCGGTGATTGTGTTCCCGAAAGTCTGCAAATGTTTCTAAATCTTTTGTTCGGAGGTGAACGACTTTTAGATGAGGAAACGATTGAAGAGAAAGAAAATGTTCGTAGTAAAGCGCTTGCCGTTGCTCAAGATATTGTGTACGGGGAAAGCAACGGTAAGAAATGGACACCTAAGCATATTGGCGTAGGGAGCACCCTTCACCAAGTCACAAGATCGAAAGATATAGTTAAACTTTTTCACAAGGCAGGACATATTCTGAGTTATGACCAAATTCTTCAACTTGATACGGGTTTAACCGAGAGTGTTTTAAACACTTTGGATGAAGAAAGCGGAACCGTGATCCCGCCAAATTTGGTGCAAGGTAATTTTATACACTTCTCTGCTGGTAACATTGATATTTTGGATGAAACGCTGGACGGTAAGAACACGTTTCATGCCACACAAATAGCTGCATGGCAACGTGGGGCAGAAAATTCGTCATTACTTGACGGTGTAAATCCATCCAAAAAGCGAAATCTGAATATTCCAGAATCGATGGACAAGATTGAAACGATTGTAGCAAGAAAAAGCAATCGTGTTTTCATTAAAGCAGTTAGGACGACATGGTATGACCAAGCTGAAGATAAGAAAGAATGCAAACAAGCTGCCAAAGCTACTGATTTGGCATTCAATATGCTACGAAGCGAAGGTGTGATCAGAAGCGGATGGACGGAGTTTAACCAGTCGTTATCACGAGGAGAAGTTGGCGACAAGTTCGGGCATGAAGTAACAAAGGTAGTGTACATGCTAATCAGACAAGCACCCGCGCACGAAATGGATACCTTGAACACGGTCGTTAAGAAATGCATGCATGTGGCCACCGTGCTTGGACAACAGTACACTATTATCACCGTAGATCAGGCACTGTACTGCAAATTAGTCGAGTTGAAATGGGCAATTCCAGAATATCGAGAGAAACTTGTCGTGCAACTCGGCGGTCTCCATATATCTATGTGTTTTCTTAAGACCATTGGAGATCATATGAAGGGATCAGGCCTTGTTGACTCATGTATAGAGAGTGGTCTCCCGGGACCAAATGCTGCTGAGACTGTGGTGAACGGCAAGGCGTATAAGAGAGCAATGCGTGCGCATAAGATAACACTGCAAGCTAGCCCTATGGTGCCTGTTGGTCCCGCTGTTACTCAAGTTTTGCAAAACGATCAATGTTGATCTTGCACTGCAGATTTCGCGTCTTTTGTCGTCAGAGCAAAATGTTAATGATTTGATTACATGTTTGAAGTCGCCACAATTTCAAACGGTGTACGACGATTTCTTAACGCAGGAGTGTCAGGAAAATGTCAATTTTCAGTTCTGGTGGAATTATATGGAAATGATATTTATCCTACTCGATTTACCCATGCGCAGTAGGTGGGAGATTGGGAGTTGTATCTAGACAGCTTCCGTGCCATGCTTCCATAGTTTTTCAGGTAAGACCACCTGAATTATGCCAAGTGGGGGTTGCATGGTATTTATCGCCGAGATGGAACAATTGCCGTATGAAGTGGTACAGGAGTTTAAGAAGGGTAACTTCGTTGGAAAGTGGAAAGAGGGCGCTTTCAATGAAGTAAACGCTGACCCCAGCCTCGAGTGGTTGAACGGCATTGGTAAACGAGGAGGTGGAATTGTTGGTATAACTAAGACATCTTCAGCCTTGAGCAGGTGCGTTAACGGTTTTAATAAATACATTTTATATTCAGTTCCTTATTTCAAGTGTCCAAATAATGCTAAATCGGGCGCAAACATGCAGCTTTAATCAGCCAGTTACTTTTTTGGATAACTGATTATTTGTGTAGTCCAAAACCGGTTTGAAATCGATACTCACGTGTGCACTATTTAATAAAGTGTCAAAATACGGAACAAATTGTAAAATATATACAATAATACCTACAATTATATATTTACCAAATGGTGTAAAATTTATTATTTTGCTTCCAAGGTGGGCTCTGTCATATAATTTGCGGTCGGAGATTGCTGAGAAAACTCATGAGATGTTTGGCCTATTCAAGAGGATACGTGTTCGCACAACGAATCTGCGCCTGCAAGGATTGTTCGCGACAATAAGGATGAAGAATCACTCATTTCCGTCTTCGAGCAGCATCATGTGTTTTCACCAACATCCCATCCAGAATGTCTTTTCAGCATCGCTACGAAAGATTTGGCCACCTTCGAGATTCAGGAATCACTGTTAGGCGCGAATTAAGATATGGGACAGAAACAAGTTAAAGACTTTGTACCGCAAAGGTTGACTGAACCACTTCAACAGCAACCTAATAACGAGCAAGGGGATACCAAGGTTCAATTTACGGATACAATGCAAAAGAACAATGCTCTTACTTTCGGTTCGTTGTATCAAGTCGCCAAAGGAAGAAAAGAGAAAGAAAAGAACACGATTTTACAGGCTGACAGGAGTAAAACACTCCACAGCGTCTTATCGTTGCTTACGGAGCTGGTTGAGAAGTAGATTTACATAATGTTTTGTCGCATGAGCTAATGTCCGTACCCATATCATTAGCGGATACGAATGGTAAACTTAGAACTGGCCAGAAAGCAGTGCTGGTTGATGTTTTCACCAGGGGAATTGAATGTCCGAGTGCTACTGATTTGCAAGGAAGTGCATGTTTAGTGATTGACGGCATGGCTTTAGTAGCAGCAGTAGGGAAACCTGCCGACGCTCAAACCTTCGGAGCCTACGCAGATAGATTCCAAGATGCCGTATTGGGAGCAGGTTCGCGGTATCAGCAAATTCACGTACTATTCGACAGGTACGAGAAGAGTTCAATCAAAGCAGGCACGAGAGAACGCCGTACCAGGACTATTCGCCCTGTTCGTCGTGTAATCGAGAACAAGAATGTTCCACTTCCGAACAGCTGGTCAAATTTCTTAGCTTTACCGGAAAACAAGGCAAACTTGGCCAAATTTCTGTCCGAACCTTTAATTGCAAATGCACCTTTAGAGAAAGTCGTTGTTGTTGCAGGTGGATTTTCCGACGGGAAAGAAGCGCAATCGACAAACCAATTGGTTGATCCTTCTCTTTTGTGCGCAAATCACGAAGAAGCTGATACAAGACTGGTTCTACATGCTATCGTCAACAGTTGTGACACGGTTGTTGTGTCTGCCAGAGATACTGACGTACTGTTACTTCTTGTCGCGCATTTGCCAAGTATGCCTTCTCCAAGTGTGGATGATGGCAGGAACAGCGGCCAGGCGCAACTTCTTTAACGGCAGGGCGATAAGCCAGAATCTTCCCGCGGGATCACTATCAGCGCTCCTCCCTTTCCATGCGCTGACTGGTTGTGACACAACGTCATATATCTCCAACCACTCCAAATTGTCAGCGTGAAAGATATTTCAAGACAAACATTACCTTCGAGCGTCGTTAGGTGAAGGGGAACTATCGGCCAACAAAGTCAGGGATGCCGAAAAGTTCATCTGTGCGATTTACAACTCCGGGCACATGGAATCAGTGAATGATGTGCGAGTTCTTCTCTTTCGAAGACAAAGAAACCTGAAGCGTTACCTTCGACCAAGGATGCACTGGAATTGCATATCAAGCGCGTGCACTATCAATCACTCGTGTGGAAACAAGCTTCATGCCAGGACCCTATCCTGCCAAACCCGGACGGAATGGGATGGAAGAGAGAAAGCGAAGGCGGCAGTAAACTCGTCCCTCTCCTTAGGACAAAGGAACCCATTCCGAACGCATGCAAGGAAATTATATGCTCTGTGGACGAAAAAATTTCCTGCAAGAACAAATACGATAAGTGAACAGAACAGTGAGGTATGATCAGAATTTAGGATACGCGCTAAGTATATTAGAGAGCTTTCCATGCACTGTGTCATATAACTAACAACTTTGATATTTAACCGCAATGCATTTTGCAACGTTATATAGACTTTTAATGATAATGAGCATTTATTGAATTTTTTTGAACATTTTTTGCCAACATAAAGGGGAAAGATATTAATTTGTGATTGAAATTGGCTTGACCATGCTGTAATTGGATAAGTAAAAAATCTAAAATATTTATTTCTCTTGAATCTGTGACGTCATATGTAGACGAAAGTTGTGACGTCATTTTCGACTACTCAACTGCAGATTACAGTCAATGACAAAATGGCGTATGGTCGTGCTTGTCTTTGCTCCGCAGAATGTTCAGATTTTCGTATAAAAAGTTTGAATCCAGACGCTTTCCTTGGTCATAAGGATGAGCTAGACTTAACCTATGATGGCAAGCGTTTAAAATGGATTTAAAACTTCGAAGATCTAAAATATTTCTTCGAGACAGTTATTGGCCTGAACGGCAAATGGACATCGCCGGGAGGGAACTCTAAGAAGTTATCAAACTGCAAATCTAACATAACAATTACTTGGTATTATGGTAAACAAAGAACACTCTTATTCCAGGGAAAGGAAGGCTATTTGCTGAAAGACGTTTTAATAAAATATTGTGAAGCGAACTCTACGTTAAAGTACTGAGAACCTCAAGCGTCGCCTAAGCAAGCTGATTGCTATGAAGTGGTTTGCGCTCTTACAAAAATAAACTATAGTTTTTCAAGCCAAAAACTATAGTTTTAAAAACTATAGTATTTTGGAACAAAACCTATAGTTATGGAAACTATAGTATTAAAAACTATAGTTCTTGTAGGAACTATAGTTTTGGCTAAAAACTATAGTTTTGACTAAAAACTATATTATTTTGGAACAAAAACTATAGTTACGGAAACTATAGTAAATAAAAACTATAGTAATTGTAGGAACTATAGTTTTGCGGGCTAAAAACTATAGTTTTGTCAAAAACTTTAGTTTTGACTAAAAACTATAGTTGGAAAAAACTATACTGTCTACTGTATTTTAGTTGAAAAACTATTATAATAGTTTCTTAAAGAAATACTTTAGCATACCATGCATGCATGCAGCACATCACCACCTCGCACATGAAATTTGTTCATCTGATAACATTATTTTATTAATATAATAAATATAATAAGCTATTTGCATAATAATAAACTATATATAACACTTTTGGTTTGTGGAAACACCACGTAAATTTATTAACTGCAAAGCATTCGATCTTCTTTCGATCTGGGCTTATGGATCGAAAGCTTTGCAGTAATAAATTTACGTGGTGTTTCCACAAACAAAAAGTGTTATATATTTTATCGCCATACAATCATACAAAGAACTTAATAAATATATATTAAATAAATGAACAAATAATACTAAATATAATCAGTTTTTTGAATTAGTAACCATATAAAAACAATGTATGTCAACTAATCTCAGTTTCTTGTTCAATTTATTGCTCTTCCTTCCCTACTCTTTGTTGTCCAGCTTGAATTTTATTGCTTTTATAATTGCTTTGTAAACAGGACAGCACATATTGTTGTATTGTTAACACCCATTACACGTTCTGGAAAACAATGGACAAATTTTCATGTAAGTTAACACAGTTTCACATTACAGTGCATCTACAGTAGGTGGGGTAACTAAGAGGTATAACCTGCGATCAGACCTATAAATAAATAAAGATGCTTGATACAAACCTTAATTAACAAAAGTCCATGCCGTACAACCTATTTCGGTTGGAAATCTGATTGGTCTATGCGACAACAGATTTTTTAATCTGTCATTTGCTTGGTTGGTGCCAATTAGATTATACTATTGTTGTCAATATATGATATGATTAGATTGTTGTCGTCGTTGTGTGAATTATGTGAGTCATGATTTAGTAACAGTTACTATTTTTAGACTTTTAGGGTTAGGATTAGGGTTTGGATTAGGGAAAGGCTTAGGATTAGGGTTATGATTAAGATGATCTAAGGGTTTGGCTTGGAGTAAGGGTTAGGGTTAGGTCTAGCAGGTTAGGATTGGGGTTAAGTTTAAAATACAAAATACAAAATTACAAATTCTAAAAATAGTAACTCTTCCTAAAACGTGACAGGTAATGAGATATAACTACCCAACATATCTTGTGCAATTACTCCTTGAGTATTAATACAATAGGTGACACTGGGGAAACAGTCCACAGACGATAAGTAAAAATGTCTCTCGGGAAACATATATACGTCAGAGTTAAATATCAGAGTACTTAAGGTAGGGAGTGTTAGGGAAAATTGCTTTCCTTTTGCTTCCTAATTATTAAATAATTTTTACGAAACAAAAATGTTACTCCATCCTTTAAAGGCAAACCAAACCATACCATATTAAGGTTTTAGGTTGAGTGGGAGGAGATTTTCACATGTGTAAAACTTGAATAAGAAGGAAGCAAGAGAAGGGTGATCTGGTTGTTATGGATTTTCCTCCTCAATCTCAGGTTTGGGTCCTCCAGAACTCGGTTCCGGCCAAAACCCCGATTTTTCAAAGCTCCTGTTCCGGCCGGAACCTGCACCGGAACTCTGTTTTTTTTTCAGAGAGATAGAATATCAAACGTTTTTGTGTCTAACAAAAGTTGACAGTAGGACGAAATTTGGACTACACAAGAAACATTTTTCAATCTTTTTATTCCATTTTCACACACTCTCCTTGATGACTTGAAGTATCTGACTGTCTGGCAGCAGACAAAGTAACGTATGACTATATATGGCTTAATAAATCAGTTCTGGTTCCAGCCAGAACTTTTTTCCAGTTTTCAGAAATTGGTTCTGGTGCACCCCTAATCTCAGGACCTAAATCCTATTGAGAATTTATGGGATCATTTGCAATGAGAGAAACTGAAACATGATCTCCACAGTGAAGACAACCTGTGGGATGTCTTTATTAATCAATGCTGGAATAAGATTAAGCCAACAGTACTAGAACACTTGTTGAATCCAAGGCAGGAAGAATTAAACCTATTTTAAAATCAAACAGGGGTCATGCAAAATAATGTTCACTTGGCTAATATAATATAATATAATATAATATAATATAATCAATTCCAACATTGATGTAAAATTGTAAATCCTACATTGATGCACATATAGTGCTGTGTTGTGGGAAAATATATTGTATATCAATAAAAGGCAAGAGAATATTGACTTGACTTTTATAACTCCTATGGATATAACTATCCAGTTTGACATATCTTGTATAATTACTCTTTAGGTACAAATAGGTGATACTTGGGCAAGCAGTCCACAGTCGATCAGTAAAATTGTCTTGTGCGAGACATACATCAAAGATAAATATCAAAATAGTTAAGTAGGTAGTATTAGGGAAAATTGCATCTAAATATGTCAACATGAAACATGGGCAGTCTAGCTAGACACTTCCCTTGACAAATAAAATTGTCCGGCATTAGAGAAGATAACATTTAACAAACTGCTGAAAATTGGCTCATGGGTATAATTAAAAAAAAACATGCTCAACACCCTTGCCGAGGTGTTTGTAAAATATATAAAATGTAGCCCAACGTTGTTACATATATTATTAAGTAGATCATGCAGGTGGTGTAACTATATAAATATACTCATAAGTTTGAACAAGCAAACTAAGGACTTTAACTGTCTTCAGTACACATCCATGAATCAAGTTGCCACACAACACATCATATTGACGTTTTAATCTAAGCGGACCCACTTATACCTGTAGAGGCTTCATTTAACACTTCCCCAAGGCAAATAAATATTATGACGGGCCAGTAAACGTTTTATCTTGCTTGTCCGATTGAGCTAGTTGCCATGCCACAAAAAGCTGCCAGGCATGTTTTCATTGTCAACCGAAGCTGATTTCCACGAGAGGCGTGCGAAAAAGTATACAGAAAATAATTTTAAAAACTATTTACAAAATTATATAAGATATATAGTATTATATGAACTAACAAAATTAACTATAAGTAATAATCTATTTACAGGTATATAGACTTATATATTTTCAATTAGGTATCAATCTAAGTAATAATTTTAATTAATCAATGTGAGTAGCGATTTTCTTTCGAAAGGAAGAAAAGGATTTGCTCTCTCTGATTTCTTTAGGAATAGAATTCCAAAGGTTTGCTCCGTCACACATGAAACTGTTTTTCATATTATTAGTAAGCGGGTGTGGTAAAGAAAGACTACTTGAAATGTTCCGAAGTTTGTAGTTTGTCACCTCACTTTTATATGTGAAGAGATTAGTGAGTGATTTCGGTCCCATTTTGTTCAATAATTTGTACATTCGCTTTACTTTTCTTCCTTTCTGTTTAAAGTGGCTTCCAACCCAATGCTTGCAATGCAACAGAATGATCTATGTCATTGCTCAT